CAGGCGGGAACACGCAAAGAGCAGGAGAGCAGCCTCCGGGCCAGAGCGAGGCCGGCTCCCCTCTGAGAGACTGAGACGCAGGAAGGACTCGGGGGCCGCCTCCAGCTGCGCCTGCGCTGGCCTGGCCACAGGAAGCCGGTGCTGTCCCCGGGCTGGGACACAGAACAAGGTTCTGGGGTGTCTAAGGCCCTGTGATATCAGCTCAGGGTGGGACAAGGGCCTACTGGAGGGACGAGGACACAGGAGACGACCCTGCGGGCAGTGACCACGTCAAAGCCCGGCAAGCCCTGCACACTGCGGGAAGGCCTGGGAGCTGCCCTGAGCCTCTGCGCACACACTGCAGGGATCCTCTAGCCAGCCAGCGCCTGCGGTCAGGAGTGGGAAGAAGCGTCCCTCATTCTGACTCTCAGGGGTGCGAATTTCCAGGGTCCTCACAGGAGGAACACGGGACATGACGGAAGAGAGTGTCTAGGACGCAACAGTGACTCAGACACGTCCAGCAGGGCCAGGCAACGCGTTTATTAGGGGTCCTTACAGAGCAGGGGACGTGGGGACCCGCAGCACACTGACATCACCGACCCCGTCCCCAACAGCTGAGCAAGTGCTTTCAGGGACTTAATTAAAAGGGCAGCGTCCAAGTCAAAGGCAGGAGAGATCCCGGGAGGGCTGCATGTTCTCCACCCCACCTGCCTCCCCACCAGGACACTGCTGGTGTCCAGGAAGCCCTGGGGGCAGGGAGCTTGGGCTGCGGCTGGCACAGGCTCGGCTGCTGGCAGGAGCCCTTGAGGAGAGGGAGGTGCAGCCAGGCCTGGTGGGGCACCCTGAATCCCAGCACTTGGGAGGCTGAGGCAGGAGGATCACTGAGTTCAACTTGCTACAGAGTGAGTTCAAGCAAAGAACGAGCAAAAGGACAAAGCAACTGTGGCCGAGCTGAGGAGGACGCAGCCCCGCAGGGCAGGGAAGGAGCAGCAGCAGCTCAGGGCTCCATGATGCTGGCACAGCAGTGCAGAAGCGCAGCCCCGCCGCTGCAGACAGGACAGCTGGGCAGGAGGGGACACAGGTCACCGTGGGGACTGGGGTGAGCCGATCTCACCAGGTCCCCATTGGGCTGATAGGAACGGAGCCCCAGTCAGAAGCCATCTGCAGAAAGAGCAGCCGAGGTTCTCGAGGTCAACAATCTTTGTCATTCATGCCACCCCTGCCAGCTCCCTCCTGCGACAGCACAGGGAGCCCTGAGCACATCCAGGGCAGGCGGCATCCACGGCCACAGCCTGAACAGCCTGCTCCCGAAAGGCTAAACCCCAGAGCGTGTCACCAGGCCTGTGCCCTCCGCACGCCCCTCTTTGACTGCACGCTGCAGGTCTCACCTTTTCAGGTCATGAGCACCTTTTCAGGTCATGAGCGATGAGTCAGAGTTCTGGGCGTGGTCACCGCCTGGGGTGAACACATAGCAGGGTGCAGTCAGAGGCCACAGGAAGCACTGTGGGGTGGGGATTTCTGTGGGTCCGGATGTAGGACCCCAACGCTCTCAGGAATCAGCCCCCCCACACTTACTTGCAGCCTGAGTGTAGCTCCCCCTTTTCACACCTGTGGAAAGCAAATGCCTTTGAGAAGCCAGGGAGGAGGCTGGGCCCCAACAGCCTCAAAGAACTGCCCAGGCCTGGACCCAGGGAAGTTTCCAGAACTGGGATGAGACCCAAGTAATGATCAGGAAGCACAAGGTAGGGACTTGTTCAGGGCCTGCACTATCTGTACTCTGCAGCTCTGTCCCCAGCAGGGACCTCCTCCTCTGCCAGACTGCTGGGGATCAGGACCCCATCACCACAATCACAGGGTGACGAATCTGTCTTTCCTATTCCTTGTGCTTCACAACAGAGTCTGGGACCCCGGCTGGGTGAGCACCTGTGTGTGTGCCTGGTGCTCAGAACAAAGAGGTGGGCGCAGTTTTTCCTGGGCCTGAACCCAGAGCACCCAGGTCCTGCCCCATTCTCACCTGCTCTCTTTCTCAAATACATCACAAGAGCCACCACAGCAATGAGCACAAGGAGACCAATGATGATGACAGCTGCAATGACTACCAAGGCTTTGCCATCGCCAGTGGGGAAGGTGGACAGAGGAGAGGGCTCTGGAAGGGAAGAGAAGGTGACTGGTCCTGTGCCAGGTTCAGAACTGGGAGACACAAGACCCTGTTTCCTTTATTAAGTCACCTGGCCTCACGTGTTCTGGTACAGAAAGGAGAGTAAGTAACAGCTGGGTGCAGAACCCTCGCCCGCCTGCCTTCTGACCTCTACTTTCTCCGCAGCTCAGAGCCGCCTCCCGGCTCCTCTTCACCTACACTCTTCCCTTCCCGTCACCTCATCTAGATCAGGATATCTGGGCAGCGTTACAAGTGTGGGTTAAGGAATGGCTCTCTTAGCATGACCAGAAGGGAAACCGTGAGAAAAGTAAAATCCTCCTTGATCAAAACAATACAGCAACACACGACTGGGATCAAATTCAGAATCAAATGGGAAGTCCCAGACAGTGAGGTGTTGCGGTCAGTGCTGTTGAGCTGAGGGCAGGGGGACGCATGGCAGTGGGACAATGTGAGCTCATTACTGTTTTCAGCAGGAGGGAATGAGGGACCTTGGAGAGCTCTGGGCCGTCTTAATTCAGCAGGATTGGGAGACACCATCCAGGACTGGAGCTCTACTTTGAAGATTTTAGGGAGGATGGGGGAGGTCAGTGCCCGCTCCAGAGGGAGGGTGACGTGAGGACAAGGTTGGCAGGGCTGTGACATCTCGGCGACTGGTGCCTGAGACTGGGGGCAGGGCAGACCTCAGATATAGCTACATGTGAAACAGGAAAATCTGTCAGCCATGGCAGACAGTGTGACCAGAAGCTTGCCATTTTTTTCAGTACAAAGACCTCCATTGGAAAGTAAAGAATATTAGAAAGAACCTGGAAAAGAAGAAAGGCAAGTATAAAGTGAAGTTTAAAAAAAAAAATGAGTCCAGGGTACCATCCAAATAGCTCAGTGGATTATAGTGCCTGCAAGCCGGAGCAAGGGCCAGGGGTTCAATCCCAGGGCCTGCTGTGCTGCCCCCCCTGGCGGGGGGCATGCTGAGCCGGCCACTGAGACTGGGCAGGTGGTGAAGGCCTGTAGTCCCTGCTCTTGCGAGGCTGTAAACAGTCGGATCACTGCGAGGGTGATCTAGTAGTGAGACCCTCAACACCCTGCAGACCCCTCCCTAAAATACAAAAAAAAAAAAAAAAAAAACAGAGTCCAAATTTGAATATGAAAATTGGAATCTGAGCAATAATTGAAGGCTGTAGATTTGCCAAGAGCGAAGGCAAACACTGAGCGCAGGGCTGAGAGCAGGAAATGCAGCGCTGGGAATGCAGGAGGAGTAAAGACTGCGGGAACCTTTGTCCCACACTGTGACACTTAGGTGTGTGCTCTTCAGTGCAGGAATCTCTCCTGCAGGAACTCATCCTAAGAGGGCACTGCAATGATCTTAAATATCGGTGTTCAGTGAAATTTCGCATCTTTCCTAAGGCTCCTTTTTTCTATCACTTTTTTGCCTTCTTCTTTTCAAATGCATTTTAGTGCAGCGTCTCCAGGGTCTCACTGCACAGATCGGACTCCTACTGACCCTCCTGTATCAGCCTCCCCAGCGCTGGGATTACAGGTTCGCTCCCGCACACGCAGTCTCACTGGCCCTCCCAGTGCTCCGGGGACAGGGCGGCCCGCAGGCTGGGGACGAACCCCGGTCCCCGCGCCTGCCTGAGCAAGCACTTTAGTCCGCTGAGTACCTGGCTGGCCCTTTCTACCACTATTTTGTATTCCTTAAATATATAGAAATGCATGTTCGAGCCCACACTTGGCCGTGGTTTCCAAAGCCAACAGATGGAAACAACGCACAGGCCGGCTCTCCGCGAGCGCGCAGCCCTGGTGCCCA